AATGTATCGCATGCACGGATTCGTGAAATATGGGAATTTGCTATTGCGATAAATAATTAGTAAAGCTGATATATATATATATACATAACAAAAACATTTTCCCGCGATCACATGGGTTGCTCCCTTGGGGCTCCATGTCACATGCATGTGGATTAACACTCACTTGCGAAACACGAAATAAAAAACAATTGCCGTAGGCAGTCACACAGTGGCTATAACTTTATTAATATATATTTTTTTCTGATGTTTTATTGCAGAACAATGAGGCTTTGCCTCTACAGATAGGCAAAATATTTAATATATCAACGCGAGTCGGATAAAGGCCGAGAAAATTTATCTTTTTTCCTCGTTTATAGATTCCATATAAGAGACTGGTTGACTACCACCCACATCCTGCATACTAATATCACTTTCGTTACGTGATAAGGGTATATTTGGCAAATTGGATGACAAATCACGGGAATTGCTATGGCCTTGATTTATTTCGGGAGAAATGCCACTTCGTGCCTCATCTGCAATGTTTATATTATTTATATTATCGAGATTGCTAACTTCGCCTCTTCTACTAGGAACTCTGCGAGTGGGAGATGCTGATCGGTCCCTTTGGCTAGCTGGAGATTCGCGATAACTCAGCATTGATGACACTTCCTCATAAGTTGGAGGTGGGGTACGGTTACGGCGTCTTTCTTGAGCATGTCTTGTGGCAATGTTTGCATTATGCACCAAGTCAAATGTCGTTTCTATTTTTCATATCCAGCTAAAAAAAATTATTATACGATCTATAACTCCCGATTAAATCAATGGCAAATGCTTGCTTTATAAACTTACGTGGTCTCTCCCAGAAGAGAGTTCGAAATTCCTCAAAATATCGTTCACCGACTTTGCTTCGTCGTCCGGATTTATTTCCAGCCATATATTGGCACATTAACTGGTATGAATTATAAAGTGGGATGATTGGTATTAAATGATATTATAGTGTTCTAATCCCGCCTATTATTAAACTTACATTATGATCCTCACGAGATTTTGGAATTTCGACTTGCAATTATATCCTGTGTATGCAGTACTAAATTGCCCATTTATCTTGTTCGCAACGCTATCCCAAAAATCCATCCTACTACTTCCCGCAATATCATGATATTCTGAATTTCGATTTTTCGTTCATCGATTAATAAGCGCAACTGATCATTTGTCCACATATTCGACCAATTAGCAGAGCTAGTACCAAGGGTGCTAAAATCTGAATTATTTTTTTTTATCGCACCTCAACTGTGGGTAACGGATTTTGCATACTATTATATAACAAAAATTTAACAGCGACTAGGTCGAGCCTACATTGCGACTGGGTTCTGCTAAAATATGTGTCAGAGACACTAGCTCCGCTATTATGAGGGTTATAATACATAGAACAGGTTAACTCGAATTAGCTTTCATATCCGAAGTTTTTTTATTATTGAGCAATCGAAAAGGGAAAGATTCTTTCATGATCGGCGAAAAATTATTAAAAAATACCCAATGATCGTTATATCTGTCGCACAAAAAACATATGCAAGTATAACCTCACATGAGATGAACCACGATCGTCCTTGGTTATATAACATGCATATAATGTCACAGATAAAAAAATCCGATAATTGATCTGTCATGCATCGAATATATAATTTTTCCGGCTTGGTGATCACCGCTCGAACTTTGCCAACACACGTGCGATGTCATAGGTATAAAAATTTTTTAATTATCGGATGATGCATTTCCAGATATACATATAATTCTGAATAATCGAACACCCCCACTACACTATCTTTACATATATTCTTGACTATATCAAATCTATTTTCTGGATCGTACATGTGCTCATATTTATTCTGGTTTAATAATTGCAAATACTGGGAAGGAGTATTGGTAAATTTTCCCATCATTTTACGCTTGTTATTTCTTGACTTACCCATGTTAGCATATACTTATCATTTTTTCGATTCAAATTTGGGTGAGGCATGCAACGGGTACAAAAAAATCCCAAAAAATAAGTGTTTTTATTACATTGCTATATATTCACTATGGCACTTACATTACCTGAATTATTGATGAAAATTTTTAATTTCTTAGCTGAAGATAAAGCATTATATCCCACCTTGTTCATTTCTAGACTCTGGTCTATGTGCTCCGGCCCAATTTTATGGTGTCGCATCGAATTGATAGGAGATGGGGATGCCTTTGGAGAGGAATATGAAATACAATTGAAAAAGTTTCTAAAGATAGTATGCAAAAATTCAATACTGACTTATGACTCAAGTGTACGTTATCTCAAAATTTCAGACTATCATAAACTCTCAAATAAGGTACTTGGGAAATTCATCAAAATATTTCCAAATATAATCCATCTTGATTTTAAACAAAGTTAGGGATACAATAATACAGTATTATTCAAGATTTCTCAAGCATATCCTAACTTAATTCATCTTAATGTTTTTAACAATGGGAGGTTAACTGATCATTCTATTATCGAACTCGCAAATAGATGTTCTAAATTACAGTATTTGGAAATTAGTTGGGGCGGAAATATTACTGACAAGTCTATCTATGAAATTGCGAGATCTTGCTACTGCTTAAGGCATCTAGGAATAAGCGGAGGTAAAAGTTGTATTTCTGATAAATCTATACGCGAAATTACACGATTCAATCCCAATATCCAATCTTTAAATTTTAATAACTGCAAGAAGCTTACCGATATCACAATCCATGCTCTTGTAGGTTCATACCTGGATCTGAGGGAATTAGATCTTAGTGACTGTAAACGGATAACTGACATAGGCATCAGACAAATCGCACAATGTCGTAATCTGGAACACCTTGCACTTAATTATCTTAAATTTCTTAGTGATGAAATGATATGTATTATTGTGCAATCATATCCAAGCATTTCTTATCTCAATCTTAAATTTTGTAATATTACAGATACAGCAGTAGAAGCAGTAACACAATCATGTCGTAATATAGAATACCTCAATTTTTATGGATCAAAATCTATTACTGATAAGTCTATTTCTAAATTAGCAAAAATATGTTCTAAGGTTCGAGATCTTGAATTAGGATTTTGCGAGCTTATAACCGATATAGCTATCAAAGATATCGCACATCGTTTATTTGATCTAAAATATCTTGGTTTAAAATATTACATAAATATTAGCAAAGAGGTATTAGATATGCTGAATTCGGATTTAGATATAGGTGGGTATTATACAATTCCATCTACTTTATAATCGAATAATCAGGATTACATATTAACCTTTACTTACCTTTATATGTCGGAATTAATTTATTTCTTGTGGCATTTTCACTTTTTTACAACTGTGACCTTACATATACCTTCCGGACCTGAATTGGAGAAATAAGAAGTGCTTGTATCAGAAGTGTCAGTATTCAAATTTGTGGAATACTTACCTCACCTTTCTTGCTCTTATTTTGGTGTAAGCAAGAATTAGAAGGATCTGTCTCTGATTTTATCCATGGTAGCTTTGCTTTATTTATATAACTTAGTTCATACTTAATAATACGAAGTTTTTCAAAAACTCCATACTCTATATCATTTTCTATAGAATGAACTGACTTCCAAATATTATTGAGATGCGTTTTTAATGAAAGCTTTCCACACCCATCACCTAAATCTACTTTAGGATATTTCTTATTCTTGCTAACTCTTCTATGTGTTGGAGATACAGGAGGTATATTACCATGATACTTCTTTCGTTGCTTATTATCTTCGCTTCTGAGAGATAAAATCTTAATCATATTTGTGATCTCCTCTATTAATAAATCGGACTTAAGTGAACTATTTTTACTAGAGCTGGCTTTGTTAAAATCTTCATCAATTAACGGGATACTCATACCATTTATTACAATTTTAGCATTTGAATTAAAACATATCTTTACTTCGTGTGCTTATAACCAACCCTAACTCAATATCAGATCGAATGTTGAATTCTTGTAAATCTCAAAGTTTATTACATCAGTATTATCTAAGCTATGGTATGTTCCTTTATATTGGAATTGTAAATCTAAGCAATTTATTTTACCTATTACATCTTTATAGAGGTTTTTAACCAGATCACAAGTTGGTCTTATTTCATGATCCATTCCAAGCCTATCGAACAAGCTCTTGCTAATAGTATTAAACTTCGACGATGTATATATTAATGCTTTTACTGAGATTTTTCCTTCTAAGAGTAATTCTATGAAAACTATGTCAAATATTATTTAATGATATATATTATAACTGAAAAAATAACTTGGTAAATAATTATACATTCTCAAGATCAGAAGAGTCTGTCTCAAATTTAGATGCACAATCCTCTAAGCTAGACGAAAAAATTAAATATGATAGATGAGTAGACCGTATATATGCTGCCCAAATTCCAAAATAATTTGGAATTTGGGTAGTAGAATAGGTCCAAATTATTTGAACTTCAAAGATCAAAAAAGTCCAAAGTCCAAAATATTTTTGGCAGCTCAAATTATTTTTGATAGTTCAAATTATTTTGGCAGCGGAAAAAATATTTGAAACCAATTACTTATTTAAAATTTGTGACACAATAGATCTGATAATTATTTTTTATTAAATTTTT